TGACGAAGCTGTATTTTAACGTGGCGTTGATATTTATTTGGTTCCTGATAAAATAAAGATTATTTTCTCGGTGAACTGTCAGTAAAATCATTTCCTTAATTAGTTAGGCTCGGCATAAATTACAACTTATTGAAAACATGCATTAGTTCCTTTTAACAATAAATGCAAGTTTAGGCGATTTTCATTGCAGCTGGGTGGCAGCTAAGAAGAAATTGATTATCTCAGCATTTTATGAATTTTAAGACAAGCCCCTACTTTCTCTCGCTTCAGCCTCCCACATTGTCGAAAAATGAACCAATCCAAGTCCCAATTTCTGCCTCTCTGGTCCTCTTAGTATAAAAAGGCCCTGGGAACGAATTAAGAAAAGGATCATGGAGGGGAAGAAGTGACCTCTTTCCAAGAGTTTAAACTTAAAAATTTCAATTAAAGAGGCTCAACGAACAGTTATTATTATCGATATCAAAAAGATATACGTCCCTTATCCACTCTAATAATGACAGAATGTACCTTTGTCTGTTACTTTTACGACGCTTCAAGTGTAGACAAAAATCATATGAAGATTCGCTGACTGGAAATGCCAAGGAAGACAAAAACAAAATCGCGATAAAATTCATTCGGGATTATCTGGGTCCAAGATAATTTTTCTTCAAGTGCAATCATATTGCATCCCTCAGTTCGACACTACCAAAATTTAGATTGAACACAAGGTGACAACCTTGTCAATGAATCTCGGTTCACCTTTCAGAGTCGTAAAACTCATTTAAATTACTAATGAATTTTTTAAATTAATATTCATATCTGCGAGAGTTCTTGCACGTGGAAGAAGTATAGGAAAGACGAGAGACTTGAGCGGCTTCTCCGGCTACTCTGGGGCATGGAAACTCGCCATTTCAATCCTATCACCTTGGATTTCGTCGGTTCTGTCTAGGCTGTTTTGTGTTTCTTCGAAATTGCTGAATCGCGTGGTTTACATTCGACGTCGGCAAGGTCGATAGATGTCATAATTTTAGGAATCTTCTCAATGTAAGTAACCTTATCATGACTTTATTTTGATAGACTAACAATGTTTGTGTTTCTCGTTGTTACCATTAAGGATCAACTTACAGAATTAACTGGAAAAAGACGAAGTATGTTTCACACAGTATCATGTATAAATTATCTGCATTGGTGATTGGCGCCATGACAGTTCTTAATACACCACGTGACCTCTACACGGCAGCAACGAGAAGCTGGTACTTTTCCACATACGTAACGCTGCTAATTAAACTCTTTAAATTTCTAAACTTCTTTTATGCCATACAGAGGTATTTATACCATAAAAATTTTACAAGAGAGGTAGTAATACCCTATCTCACTTCTCTCTTATAAAGAGGAGAAACTTGATTACGGTAGGCACAGCCTAAACGAACAGTAGGATCGTTCGCAGTTTGCTTATCAATCCGCACCATTACAAACTACTCCAAAAATGGTGGCCCGTCGAAAGCGATTCTCTGAACACCGATTCTATTCCACGTATTTCCCAGTCCAAGATAACTAAGACATTGGGCGAAAGACTTAACTCCTCTTACAAAATCAAAAGGTTAAGAGAGCCACCATGTTTGCTACTGTTACAAAATGATATCAAAGTTCTTAGCTCTCTTGCAGTAGTCTTTATGACCAATGACACCATTGTCTCCTCTTGACCACATTCGTTATCCACTCCTACTACTCACAACATTCTTTTCTCTAAAAATATAAATTATAAATGTGATCAGGAACTGTTCAAGTTTAGAAAACTTTGCCTACAACGACATGTAATCTACGAGGCTTTGAAATATATATTTTACATCATTTCTTTAACTGATGTGCAAAATTCCGCGAGAACGGGATCTGGCAAATAATTTTTTACGACTCCACGTGCCCGCGAACAACTTTAGAATGAAGAACGAATATAATACCTTTTTCAGCGTATATTTTCAGAAATAAATACTACTACAGATTACTACAACAACAGGTTTTGCTCTTTCAGAGGCCGACATCGGCCCTCAGTCGAACTTAAGAGTTGAAGAACAATTCAGGCAAACCACTGACACGTGTTAACTTCTTTGGAAAACATGTCGTGACTTTCTTTACTTTACAAAGGTTTTTAAGGCAATATTTTCCAAAGAAATGCTTACCTTCTGTTATAGTAACATAAGACTGCTTCCTGTTGCTCTTCGTCACAGGCAAAACGTCTTCTTCCCTCCAAAATTTAGCTCTGAATCTTCGACATTTAAAGACGACACGTCTTCGCCGTCTAGCGAACGGTGTGGTTTACTGAAAATCTTAATTACATGAATATGAATCAGTAAGTCCAACCAATAACCAGTTCATACGTCATAGATTTGGCGCAGAATTTTGTTTGCACGCCCAGCTAATTAAGCCTCAGGAGAATAGAAAGCGTCATGTGCGAGAAATTCAACCGTGAAAAGAACATAATTGCACTGTTAGGACTATTTTGCAAGCAGCCTCTTCTTTGCGACCGAGTATTTGTAGATGAATAAAACTGTGGTCGGTTATTTAACCCAAGTTATTAGCTGTTGTTTGACAAAACTTAACCGAACCTTTTATCTAAACACTTATTTTTGTAAATAGTGTCAAGAGAGCCGAAAGCTGATGGTGGAGAGACATTTATTTAATTAGATCAATCCTTATCTATAAAATCTCTTAAGCCCGCTGCTGGTGTAAAACCACGGTTTGTGTTAGTCCTCTATAGGGAGAACGAAAAATAAAATATTGCACAGCAAAAATGAGGATGACACACCTTGAATTTACTCTGAAGGTAGCGTAAAATGAACGCAAAATGAAAAAGCGCTGCTTCCTCCCGAACACCCGGGTTCGTTATTATCAATTGCATCCCCAGCCGGATCATGCATCAAACTTCAAAAGTCTCAGATGAAAAGGAACGGATATCTCAGAAAACCATAAGTGGAAAGTGAAAAATTGAAAGGTTAATCGATGTTCCGACGTGCTCTGACAAAAAAATGAGCCGCAGCTTTTATTTGAGATATCGACACCCTAATCCTGCAATAGATCTAGGTCTCTATCGATTTCCCGGCATAATCCACGCGAGATGTTGAGAGAAAACGAGAAGGGTTTGGAAATCACAACATCCCAAGTATAAAATAAAATAAACTTAGATATTTTTCAATTTTCTATGGGTTTTTTGAGGTGGAATAAACGATAGGTGTTTGACTAACCAATACGCTCGTAGTATGTGTTAAAGAAGGATTTGTTCAATACAACCAGCTTTCCCGCTCTATTGTGGTTTTGCCGCTGAGGACCGCAGGCTTAGGTATTCTTTTTTTACCGTAGCGGCCATCTTAGTTTTGTTATGTTTTGACTTCACTTACTTTAAGCCCATAGTTCCTCCTGGAGCATAGGTCGTCGACAACATTCCGCCAGAGTGCTCTGTCTTTCAAGTTTTTTCCAGGTCTTGATGGCCCTAGGGGGGTCGGCCTTGTGGCTTCTCACCACACGGCGTCAAATGTCCTCTTGAAGAGGTCCCTTCCTCTCCCAGGGCAGGGGTCTTTTGGTCCGTTGTTGGCGTTTCTGTAGCATGCAGATTTTTACGGGGTGGGGTTGCTAGCCCCACGCCCAACCCTCCTCCTTTCTCATCCGGGCTTGGGACCAGCCATGGTTGAGTTGTTATGTTTTGAGCTCGAAATAAATTACTTTCTTTGACGACTTCATACTGATTATTCAACTCTTCTGGTATCCAGAACAATATATCAGTTACTTAAAAACATAAGAGGACGGACGGGTAGAGAAATCCACCATCTCTTGT